GATCTGCACATGCGCGTACTTCTAATGCCTAGACAGATGCACTCCGATGAGATCACAGATACCACATTTGTAAACGAATAGTTTTTTTGTCATATAAAAGCCAAGTAGCATATAACATTTACTAACGATATTCGTACATCAATACGCTTGAGCTTCCGGTCATGTAATAACACAGCCAACCCAAAAGTTAATTATTAAATTCTTAACTTCCGGTGGTCCAAACGCGACATAATACATAGATAGATAGATAGATAGATTGATAGATAGGCTAAAAGGTAAAACTAAAGTCGACCTAGCCTTCGGCTAGTCCGACTAATAAGACTTTCAACACATATTCGATACTAGACTTGACGTTTGAACCTAATCAATACCCCATTTTCGAATTCCAAGCGAATAACCGCTGTTTTATTTGACAGCAGATTCAATTACGCAAAGAACTTACCAAACACAAAAGAAAGCACGCGAAAATGTTGTTAGTACAATAGCGCTAACAATTTACATTTTCCCCGAGTTGAGGCTAACCCTGTATTCCCAGAAGGTTCGTACCTTAGGTCTTATTGGAATACAGGGTTAGTCTCAACTCGGGGAAAATGCAAATTTTCAGGGCTATTGTAATAACAACATTTTTTCGTGCTCTCTTTTGTGTTAGTTCAGGTCTTTGCGCAAGAGAATCTGTTGTCAAATAAAGCAGCGGTTTTTCGCTATGAACTCGAAACTGGAGTATTACTTGTTGAAGGATGAAAATGACCAAGGTAGCTCAAGCGTATCGTGCATGCGCAATGAAATGGCCCCTTGTTCAATAAATCAATATATTTCTGTTATTTCTGGAGAAGCTTTTTATAATAAAATCGGACAATAAACATTTACTTAACAAAAGATCTGAAATCATTTTTAAGTGTATGCACAAAAATAAGTTCTTATTATGCAAGGTTTTAATAGTTTTTCACCCATGGGACTTACCAACGTACCTCGTTTTCAGTGAGATTGTAAACAGTTCACTATTTGACCTGAAGATTGTCTAACATGAAACTTTAAGTCGCCAACCGTTTGATCGAGTCTTGTATTTATTTAGATATTTCTGTTATATGTATTTCCTTCGCTTTTTTTTCCCTTCCGAATAATTAATGAGTTTTTGAAGTCGTTCAAAGGCCTCCAATTCGGACTTGACGGGATTTCGGCTAGCGCCTCGGACTGGAACTAATTGCGCGGACTTTGAAACCCCGTCAAGTCCTCATATTGTCGGACCAATTCCACTAGAAACTGCTCATTGTTTTGCCATTAATGTATAGTTATGTTATATTCTTGCGACAGTCATCTCGAGAATTTCATTTCACTCATTAACAACATTAAATGTTTGAGTATATCCATACCTGCCACTTCAACATGCCATATCTCTGCATCGGATCATTTTCATAGGTGTCCGTATCCTCAGCGACCAACGGGTTCTCGGCATATAACGCCCACCCCTCGACAAACGCTGTGTAATATACTTTACCATTAAGCCAGGCCAGAGAACCACCACAGTCGTCCTGAAAGTTCTCTATGTTTCCTTGAATCTAAATACTTTGTCTTTTAATCATTTCTATCAAAAGTTCTAATGCAACATTGTTAAACCTAAATTGAGGGTTTTCCAGGGGATTAAATTTGAGAGTGCCAGCAAAAATCGCCTAGTAAATCAGGTTCACATAGTTTCCTTTGAAGGAATGCGCAATAATTATCAAGAGTCAGGTTGAGAAATGAGTGCAAAAAAATATGTCATGCCTCCCCTTCCATAACTAAAAAAATTGACTACACCTGCCTCAATCAAAGCTAGATGACTTCAAAGATTAAAAGCTTATAACTTAACATCATGCCCAACTTGGCATCTGTATTTATTTTTTTTATTTTATATCTTGTTCTCAGAAATGTTATAGAATGGACTGAGCCCTCGACTGTACAATTTTTCGAGTAAAAGTGACTGAGACAGAAAGCAGTGATACATATTTGGCTGTAGGAGGTATCTATATGCATGGCATACCCGCTTATTTGTAGTGCATGCAAACTTCAGGAAACAAAGTCGCCGTTCCAAAAACACTWAACCACTCAAAATCTAAAGCGGTTGATTTTGAGCATGTAATATATGAGTGCTTTTTTGTAGCGATTAGATACATTTGATCAACTCTACATTAATGTCACTCAAATGGACTTTGAGAGAGTTGGAGTGATTTTGAGAGATTTTAGGAGATTATAAACAACTATAGGTCCTAGAGTAAAATCATCTTACTGGTTACTGGTTTGTTGAGTTTTGCGATCGGTTTCAAATTAAAGTTAGTTATTATACTTCCCCCTCTCCTTCGTTGATTAACTTGGAAGCTGACCCCCTCTTTCAAGTCATAAGTTTAGAATATGCCCCCCCTATGGATACTAGACCTCCCTCTTGATAATTTTTGCACAGTCCCTGAAGACACGAATAAGTTAGGAAGTCTTTATGAGTCCTCTCTTTTGCAATACCTGTAAGTGATGTCCTGGTCGCGATTCGTGAGCATTTACGCTCCATTCTGAGAATTTTGGACCCAAGTCTTTGAGGAAGAATGGGATGTTGTARTAGGCAGGAAGCTTACAGTCTCTAGTGCTTCTTCCATAACTTTGAATACCGCTRGTAGGATTAAGATCTGGTCTCAATTCTACTGGGCAATTGGGTGCGGTATCTTTGCTGCCGGTGTAATAGAACATGTTGACAATCTTTGGAGCCAACATACTCATAGCCTTAAACGATATGCAGCAAATACCATCTTATAGTATATTGTACGCAATATAATGTGTATTTTTAAGACCCCAATAACAGATGTCAAAGGTTAAGAGATGACCAATTGAATGTTTGAAGAATTGTTTGATTTGTTCATTTCGATTGGGTTGACGTTGATGGCTGGTTACATTGGTGGGCTTGGTTCGTTTATTTAAGATCGTTGTTTTGGCTGAATTTGATTTGTTTACGATTATGGTTTATTTGACTCAAACGTTTCGCACAAAAGAACATACAGTCAGTTCCAGCACAACTATGCAACAACTGCTTTTTCGCGCTGTATTTAAATCCTCATAAGCTATATTCTCCGACGACTAAAGACTTAAAAACGGTCTAGGGTTTATCATTATTTTGAATCATATTTGACCAGATCTATCTACTAGACCGATTTTGACAGGGTCGTATTCGTGACTTACCATTCTAGCTTCCTTAAACCATTTCTGTAGGGCTTCCCATCGTTTTGGGCAGTTCTTCTCGGCATCTAYTAKATTGCTGCATCTTTTAAATGCCTCTTCACCCATTTCGTTAGCTGGAATAGGATCTTTATTGAAATACATGTCTTGAGAATGGAGTTTTTGGCGAAATGTTTTTATGGCAGTTGCATTGTCGGTGATATTTGTTATTTCTTTTGCAACYTGAACTGCCTGAAAAAAAGGCAATGATGTTAAATCAAACCTTTACGTCATTAAAGTTTGCCGTTGCTGATAAATGGTAATCTGTTGCAGCTACGCATATCCTTGGAAACGTCGGTAGCTAGGGTGGTGTAAGCTGTTTACGTGTGCTTGCCACACCTTCAACATGATAAGTAACACTAATACTGAATATGTGATAACGACGACCCTTCTACCGGAGCGTCTTTCACAAGAAAAGACTTTACCTGAGGATATAGAATAGCTAGCATGTCATATCCCAGCTGATGTACCTCAGTCGGGGTGGCTTCGTTGGTAGTAAAATACGGTAGTATTTGCGCATAGGACTTCTTGCCATCWAGTATTTGATCTGTCCCTGGTAGAGTGGGGTCTGTTGGCCATGATGTRTTCTTCACTCYRTTAGTGTACACGAACTTCAGAGGTAGACTAGCAAGACCGCTTGACACTGAACTGTTGACGCAGTGAGGTAAATGGTCTTCTTGGATGTATCTTTGGTGTAATTGACAGTGGAATTAGCTCCTGGACAAGTTATGATGAATTACATTCCGGATACCTTGTCTTTTTGCGATAAAAGCTGTCTTAGCATTGTAAATGGTTCTTTTATAAGTTTATTTTAATTTAATATTTAAAGAATTAAAGAGTTTTTGGTAATGACATCTCAAAAAAACTCTGTTTCAAAAAGTTTGCAAAGTGTACTGATTTTTCGCAAGAAACAAGGTTATCCCTGATATGATCACGAAAGATGGTCGTGACATAGTTATCAAAGTATAAAGCATGGCTTATATACTAAATATACCATTCCATACCTTAACATCTYAGTAACTGGCTTGCCCAAGTATTCTATCAAATATTCCTTGACAGAGTCTTGAACGGTTTTGCCGTCGTTTGACTTCATCCATTCATTGTTCAYAGATGCTGTGATGTTGGAATAATATTTCGAGGACAACATTTCTTGAGTGTATGTTTCGTTCAGGACACCTTGTWATTGTACATATAAAAAATGAAAAGAAAAATAGAAAATTTACGATCAATTGTGTACATGGAAATTCGCGCTAAGTGTATGATTCATTCGTTGCAATAGTTGTTCATTTATCACCTGCTGAAAGAAAAAATTAAAGCAAAATATTTGATAGGCAGACGATATGATTTCTCTGTTGAAAAATTATAGGACTAAATATGTACATGTAAACGGCTTACAATGCTGTTAGCATATAGTAGTATATATCTCCAAATCCTCACGAAAGATTTTACAACTTGGCAGAATTAGAGAAATAAATTCTATTATGATGTTCATTGAATTATTGGTATAATACCATGATCATCTCGGATTCCATTGTCTTCCGAGGGGTTTACAAACCCGAATTTCCCTCATGAATAACATGAGGGAAATTTAGAAGACAAAGGATTCTTTTGTCTTTTACTAAATTTCCCTCTATTTTAATTTATGCATTGTATACGAATTTTAATTCTGCGATATAAATATTATCTTTTGTACCCTAAGGGACTACAAAACAAGTGTATGAAATAGTACTAACGAACAAATGTTGAATCAATTACACAATGAAGACAAACTAATGTGTTTGAAAACTATTGTTTGATTAGATCATTATTAAGCCTAGGTGTCCTAGGTGTACAATACGCTAAAGAGCTAGTTATGCATTTTGGCGGCGTTGTTTACGCTTCCTTGACTAGAAAACTGAACATGATATCAAAGATGTTTCCTTACTTCCTCGCCGATAATAGTATTACAAAGTAATACCATGTCACTCGTGAAATTAGTGATTAAATTTCTCCGATACCTCGGGAAAATTTGTAAACAATGTTTTCGGGGAAATTTAATCACTAATTTCCCTCGTTCCATGGTATTACTTATAATAATAATAATAATAACGAATTACTGTTAAACAAACAACCAGAGTAGAGATATAATTCATACTGCAGGTATAAATTTAACTTAGCCTCGGCCCCAGCCAGGAGCTTAGAGGCTAAGTACCTTCRGTAAAATGAGGGTGGTCCCAATGACTGCAGACGTCTGCATACCACCCAGAACATCTGGGATACCTAAAAACTTTTAGGTATCCCACAAACCTACTCGACACAACCCTAAGATAACCAACAAATAATGGAACTACCTTTGTTGATACCCGGTGCATCTTCCTTATCTCCTTTGCCAAAGGTGCATACTTGGCAACCTTTTCATTCTCCTTCAACACCACGTTCTTGTCCCAAGGCACCGAGAAATCAACAAACGTCAACTCCTGGGCCGCCCGATTCAACACAGTAACATCCGGACGATTATGTTCCATCTTCTGTGTTGTCTCGACGCCCCTGTCCCACCAAATCTCTACCTGACCATCCTCTGACACCCTTACCTCATCGTGTACTTTCTTATACCAAACATCAGCACACTTCACTCCATACTTCCTACACAGTTCCCAATACAGCCTCAAACCCATTGTATCAAGCCTCCTCCTATATTCCTTTTGAGCTAGCCCACTACAACCACTCGCCAAATGTCCCACAGACTCCACCTCCTTACCACAAACCATGCACTTTGGATCAACAGCTTCCTTTTGGATCGTGGCTAGGAAAAACCTCGTCCTCAAAGCCGGTTAATGATAATGATAATGATAATGATAATGATAATGATAATGATAATGATAATGATAATGATAATGATAATGATAATGATAATGATAATGATAATGATAATGATAATGATAATGATAATGATAATGATAATGATAATGATAATGATAATGATAATGATAATGATAATGATAATGATAATGATAATGATAATGATAATGATAATGATAATGATAATGATAATGATAATGATAATGATAATGATAATGATAATGATAATGATAATGATAATGATAATGATAATGATAATGATAATGATAATGATAATGGGGAGTTTTCAGACATTCCACATCGATGCGTCTGTGGAAACAGTTTTGACGCAAACCACGCCATGATATGTAGAAACGGAGGCCTGGTAATCCAAAGAATGAGTCCARGAATGAGGAATGAGTCCAGAATGTCAGATGTACCATAAACGGTTAGCTGAACTTGTCTCAGTGAAGAAAGAAGAGACCTATTCAAACACGATGGCCTGGATAAGAGTGAAAGTGTCRTTCGCCTTGTTACAATCTGCCTGCTTTGCCTATGAGGRACAAGAGCAAAACCGCATAGACGAGACAGCACAAGCAACTTGGAAGTACRAGCTGAGGTAGCCGCCATTGCATATWCTGACGCACAATCCGACCTGTTTTCACTATCGGAGTTCCTCGCAAGCGGGTTATCGCATCACGACCACCCATCTCCATCGAGGGAGTATTCTTTGCCAAGCTGAGCACACAGTCCCCAAACGGCAAGGTCACTACCTGTCATTCGATGGTATACATTAGCAGCTCGGTGCAAGATATGTACTTGTCCTTCGACTCATTGCTAAACCTGGGTCTCCTGTCACACAAATTCCCGTCCCTGAGCGATGATGCAGACACCCTCCCAAGTGAACCACCGACCGTGAATGCTACACCTGTCCTCAATGATGTCTGCTCGACATCAGACAGCTCCCACGATGCCCCCATGCGGAAGGCCACGCCACCTCGCCCTGCTGAGCTACCGTTCCCCTGCACGCCTGACAACAACGACCGGATGAAGGCATGGCTACTCGATAGATACTCCTGCTCAACCTTTAACACATGCCCCCACCGGGCTCTCCCATGCATGGAAGGACCTCCCGTCGAGATACACATCGAACCCGACGCCAAACCCAAAGTTTGTCATACGCCARCAACTATACCACTTCATTGGCAACAACAAGTGCATGATGATCTCTTATGCATTGAGGCTCTGGGGCGAGAGAGCGGGTGCCCTACGGAGAGCCAGTCACTTGGTGCCACAGAATGGTGGTAGCGCGTAATCACGACGGTTCTCCCCGACGAACAGTCGACCTATTACATCCCTCCACAAACCTCTTATCCTTCAAAAACCCATTGTTAAACTTCCATCTACCCTTCGGCACCCCCTCACCCAGCCCAACAAAACGACACTTTACACCATCATGATTGGACATTCCCAAAGGCTCTACATACACGGACGATACAGACGACACAAGACCCCTGGACACATAAATACGATCTAAACGCGACCAACCCCCCTACCAACCCAAGTAAACACCGAAGCCCTCCCATGAAATTCAACCCACAGGTCTACAAGGTCCCAATCCTCCAAAAATTCCCTTAACTCTACAGCCCCTATCTTATTTGCACCCGACACACAAGAAGTATCTACATCCCGCATCACACAATTAAAATCCCCAGCAGGAAAAACATACTGATACAAACTACGAAAAAACTCTTTACGCACTCTCACACCATCCGGGGCATACACATACATCAAAGACACGCGCGCTCCATTCGACTCCACTAACACACTCACAACTCTACCCTCCGTGTCTCTCCTCACATCCCTAGCCTTCAGACCACACATCTCGTTCAACAAAATCCTGAACGTCCTGAACACGCTTGGCCTTCGACAAATTACAAACATACGATTCCTGTACAAACACGACATCCCACTTTGACAAAGTATGGAGTACAAGGTTATAACGACGTACAGACGACATTCCACGAACATTAACACGTAAACACGAAAGATCAGTCATTACCTATGTATGGGGATCGGCATCCTCACAAGCGTCACCCCACGTAGGTCTCACCGTAACAATCTGTACGTCCTTGTCTGGTCCACACACACGCTTTGTCCTTCCACCAGTAACACCAGCAGGACGGTAGGCAGCGGATGCAGCCGAAGCACCACCGGGGGCAGCCGCTGAGGCATAGGAGCGCCCCGAGCTCTTCTTAGGGGCGCCTTTTGGGGGCTCTGGAGCCTTCATTTAAGCAAGACCGATCTTACATTGACGAGTCCAGTGTCCATTGACGTTACAGTAACTGCAATATGCTTCCGGGCAACGATTAGCGAAATGACCTCATTCGCCACAACGGCAATTTTTCCTCGTGTGTCCATTCCTCTTGCAGAGGGAGCAGTGTGGGATACTGGTGTTTAGTACTCGACCCGCAAAACCTTCAACGGTGATCGAAGCTCAATGTCCTCTCTTAGAAAAATTGGAACCGTCCTGATCCCATTGGAGAAACTTCTACCGGGGAACTGATCGCGAGTTACCTCGCCAACCTTCCCAAACTCTTTGAAAGCAGCAGCGATTGACGCGGACGGCATCTCGTAGGGCATGTCATAAACCTTGATCTATGCCCTTTTCTTTTCAACTTTGTCGAAAAAAAGGACCCCAGCTCCGACTCCCTTCTAAAATTCTTTGCAATGTCCATCATCATCTCATTGGTATTCATGAGACATGGTATTCCTCTCCCACTTTGACAATTTGCGTCACATGCGCAGGATAACAGAAAACACCTTTTTCCACCAGATCGCAGAACGCCGAGTAATCCGGGACAACTCCCTCCGATTTCTTGACCGTAACAGTTCGATCTCTAGAMACACCCATGTTGAGGTTCGCCACGTGTAGATTCAAACTAGCGGGGCAAACACAGGAAACCCACTTTACAAACTGACAGCACTGATCCTTGACTAATGCAGGATGTTGGCTGTGTTATTACATGACCGGAAGCTCAAATGTATAGATGTACGAATATCATTAGTAAATGTTAGATACTACTTGCGCTTTTATGTGATAAAAAAACTATTTGTTTACAAATGTGGTATCTGTGATCTCATCGGAATGTATCAGTCTAGGCATCAGAAGTACGCGCATGTGCGGATCGCATGGAGCTTCGAGTAGTATGCTTACGAAACTGAATCAGTGACCTTTCTACCGTTAGACAGTCTTGTGTGGGCAAAGATTTCAAATTAGAACAAGATGAAACTTTGTTTATCAATAACAAAAAGGCGACTTTGATTATTTTATAGTCATCTTTTATTTTGTAAGGTATTTTTTTCTTGACATGAGAGGTCAATGAGTTAAAAACGTATTAGATATCATGATATCACTTAGCGACATTTAGTCTAACACGTTTGATTTTATTAGCGGGCTAGCTGTGGCTAGCCAGCTATAGTTTTACCTTTTCTATCTGTGTATCTGTCGTGTCGCAGTTTTTAATCTCCCTCGGACCACAGGAAACCATATCTTTTAGTTTAAAGTCTCTCTCGAACTGAAAACTTTTGTCAAGAATCCAAGATGGCRGATACTTCGCCAATAACAGAGAAAAAAGTACTCAAAAACTATCAAAAAGTGCTTAAAGGAAATGAAAAAATCTTTCTTATCGAAGAATTGGACTTGTGAAGTCTCAAGCTTGCTAGTTACCATTTTAAGACGATTTTGCATCGAAAATAGTCTCGCCTTCCTCATCCGTCCAGCTCAATGAAATTCAGTACACGTTTCAACATGAAATAAGCTCTGCAAATCCGGGCTTTTTTCCACATTAGCCAGCAAAAGGTACTTTTCTGTTTAAATGACAATGTTTTTATTGTTCAAATTCAAACAAATTGCAAATTACAAGTTTTTGAAATTGAACTTTGTTTTGCTTCATTTTTTGGARCCCAATTTTTCACTATGACAAAAAGATTATGGTTTATTTGATATACGATATGATTGTAGTAGACAGTGAAGGTTGGCGATTAGTCGCCAGAAAAGAATATTGCGGTGCACGATTAGAAATTGAACTGTAAACAAAACTAAGGTATTCTACGGCATAATTTACCTTCATACATAGTTACGTCATTCATTCAACCTCTACGAACATAAATCCATAGCCCAACCTTGAATTGGGGGGAGGGGGGTTCAGTTTTCTTCAATATTTCACAAGATATCGAGATATATGCCTGAGAAATGGACGCGCGTGTCAATTTTCTCAACCATTTTGTCCAGGATTGTCCCCCCGCCCCCCTTTGCTCAAAGTTGTACTTTACACATTCCTGCTGGATTCTGTTTGAGTGCTMTCAACATTGTTTTGGGGGAGAGGAGGGGGTAGAGAGCATGTTTTGTTGAACTGACCTGAAGGGTGCAGTTATTCTCAACCTTTTTGTCCAGGATTGTTGCCCGACTTCACGCTCCAAGAGCGTCTAGATGTTTATGAGGGAGGGATGT